TTTTTTTATATAAAATCAATATAAAAAAGTGAATCCCGATACTGCAACTCACTTTTTTTATATAAAATCAATATAAAAAAGTGAATCCCGATATCGCAACTCACTTTTTTTATATTTAATTATTACTAAAATTCATAAAATCTATAAATAACTTAGTCAGGACTAGGTCCTGGGACCAGGTCCAGGACTGGTCCTAACAGGACCTGGTCCGCAGGACTGTTCAATAGGACTTATAGATCCCAGGACCAGGACCGGACCAGGACCGACCTAACCATCCATAACATAGGTGTCATCAGCTTTATTATGTTGAGCTAATTCTTCCCAGGTAAGTTTTTTACCCGAACGCAGCTGAGAATTGAAATTGACATTAGTATGACGCATATCTATTTTTGAAAAAATATTGAAAGATAATCTAATATTTTTTTTTTTTTTTTAAGTTTGATCTTAAGCATGGTGAACCTCTTCCAGCAGCAATTCACATACCATCATATAAATGGATTCGATTGCAATTTTGGCCAACAAATCCTATAGTAATAAAAACTATACAATATACAGGAAGATATCAAGTTAAATTCAAGGTACAAGGTAGACTTCTTTGTAAAAAAAGTGTGGATGCCCACTAATGTGCAGCACTTTTTCGTTATTTATGTGAATTTACAACTCAATATTGACAATATGTATGTTTTATATCAGCTGATGATAAGTATAAGGTTCCTATTGGTGAAGGTGTGCCTGTTTCTACTGGAGTACGTAATCATCAATCATTAGCAGCACAAAATAGTACTTTAGGTGCAGCTGACCATGATTTTACAAAACTTTCTTTACCACCTTCAGTCATTTTTTTTGTTTTAATTCCAAAAGATATATCAGATGGATTTTATAATGAAGAGGTTTTTGTATCTTTTAAAGACACTGTTTTTGAGCCTAGTAGTGCTATTCAGCATACAACTGAATTTTATAATGTTATCAATACAAAGTATACCCATCATACTTCTCCACCAATTTTGTGTTTGTATACAAATGGAGAACCTGATCATAGATGTACTTATGGCTCAGTTCAAATTGCTTTAATCAGTCTTTTTTTAAGTGGAGATTATGATATGCTTATTGTAGTGCGGACAGCACCTCATCATAGTTGACAAACTCAGCAGAAAGAATAATTAGTATTTTGAATTTAGGACTTTAAAATGTAGCAATTAAGCGAAATACAATGGATGAGGAATCAGAAGCTCTTTTTGATAAAGTTGATATATTTGATGAAATTTGTGAAAGTGCAAATAAAAATGCTAATTTAGAAAGGGAATTATGAGATTGCATCAAAGATATTTAAAATTTATTACATAGCCGTTCTGAAAGATTATTTTTAAAAGATCAACCTTTTAAATGTTATGATGCTACAAGTGAACAAGATATTAATGGCTTGTTTGAGGTAAGCAGATGACTCAGAATGAACGAATATTTATATTTTATATCACATAATTTATTTAATATCCATTAAATTTATACAAAATTTACACTCTATATAGTTTATGTCAAAGATTGAGTCTTCATTGACTTGTAATGATGATATTACACAAGTTCAATTAATGCGACATAAAGAATTGATTAATTTTATAAAAACTCATTATTATGAATGTGCTTATTCTTTTCAAGTATGATTTTATTTTTTAAATAAATATACAGTTTATTTAAATTTAATATTCTTATTATGTTTTTTTAGATAAAAAAATGCTAAGACCCGTCATGTGACATATGTATACCAATACGCCTTCCATAAATTATCTTTGATAGTTTACATTTTCTAACTGATCCAATTCCTGCAAAAGGTATATTTATATTTTATGTTAATAATTTTTTATATTATATCTTATAAAAGCTACTATATATATTACAGACAATCCAGATCATTATTCTTCATTTCATACTGTTTATGGAACGGAAACTAGTAAAGAATTTTGTCCAACATTGCAAATTAACCAAACTAATACTGAACCTGTGCCAAAAGGAGTATTAATTCGTGATTATGTTACATGTTGTGATTGTGAAAAGTGGCGCTGTATTTTTAGTGATAAAGCATTAAGTCAAAAGGAGATGCAGGATTTCAAACAAGCTTTGGATGCATACGACTATTCATGTGATGCACCTCTATTTTCTGATGATTATTATTTGATAGAAGTATTGTTTATTTATATAAAAATATTTTGTGACACCCCTATAGAAATTCTTTACTATTCTAGCCAAAAATCTGGAAATTTTGATATATGCTATTATTGTGGTGCAGATAATAATTTAATTGATCCACCAAGTACACTAATAGCTAAATATAAGATAGTATACACACGTCAAATAAGTAAAAATCGGTCAAATATCGGACTGCCGATTTTTGGCTGTATTTGTCCGATTTGTGGCTTTATTCAGCCGATTTTATGGCGCGAATTGCTAAAAATAGAAATTCCTCTTTTTAATGACAAAAAATAGGAATGTCGCATTTTAAACCATCATGTCGATTCAAATAATAATCGGACTGCCGACTTGTAAATAAATTTACAAAATATCATCACAATCAGACTGCCGGCATGAAAATAAACATGCTGATTCATAAATCAGAACAACAAACATTTTATATTACCTGCCGATTCTTCAATAATCTTCCAAATCAGACTGCCAATTGTACCGATTCGTATAATAATTTTTCAAAAAATAAGTGCCGATTTATAAATTGGCACAACAGACTTATACTGCCATACAGATTCATGCAGTAATCATCCAAAATCGGACTGCGATAATCATGCCATCTCACAAATAGAATTGCCGATATATAGACCAGTAAGAACAATACTTAAAATAACCTATGCCTGTTTTTATTTCGATCACAAATAGAATTGAATAGAAATGCCGATTTATAGAACGGTAAGAGCAATACTTAAAATAAACTATGCCTGTTTTTATTTCGATCACAAATAGAATTGAATAGAA